TTGGGTACCCCGGGACGGGGGTAGCCGACGGGTATATGCAGCGGTGCTATCAGAGGTGGCTTGGACTTGGATCAAAGAGCTTGACTGGTTCAAGCTTCAGATGAAACAGGGAGTCCCCGCCTCGATGCGGTACAAACGCAAGTCAGTTATATGGCTATGAGCCCCGCTGAGGAAACATGGACGTGTTTGGCGGTTCCCAGAATTCGAGATCTTCGTGGGATGACTGGACTGGGTCACTTTCTTACTGATTCGCCGTCTGATGATGTCAGTCGTGATCACTTGCCGCCTCTCCAGGGCGCACTGGGAATGGACATTCCAACACCCGACGCCAGGTTGCTTCACAACTTGAGACAGATCATGATCTGCAATTTATTTTAGAAGAACGCTTTTCAGGGTTCCTTTGAATAGGGCCGAACTCCCATGCTCAAGCCTGAATCTAATCAACCGATCCAGCCAGTCTGGTAGTAGGGGTATGCTCTGTGTCTGATTGGCATTTGAGCTAAAAATCGGTTGGATTGGTGGTGAATAGGGGATAGCAGTATTGCTCATCTAGCCTCAGCTGGTACTCTTCGCTTGGAGAGGTCTCCTTCGTTGTAATTACGTGTATCTTTTCCATCGCCAAGTTGGCGCAGATAGAACCCGCTGTCTGCGCCTAGCTACCTCAAACTTGGGTCTCGTTGAAGCTAATGATACCAAGCATATGCAGACTACGAATTTTGATCACACTTTTTGACTACTTAGTCACTTCATACGTCCAAACATCCTGAACTCTGCTGAAGGAAGAAGGTCTGGCGGACAATTGAACTGACGTGAGTACGTATAACCTTACGGTTGGCTGACATGAGCCAGGGACAGACCCCGAGTCAATTCCAAGGATGCCGAGAACGGCCGGTTGGCTGAGTTTATCGTTCCAGAGATATGATTAGATGAGCGAATGAGGATAAGTCGCTGGGATCTCAACAGATGGTTCCAAAACCCTGATGCCGATTACAGGTATTTAGCAGTTACAGCACCAAGTGGTATTATATCTTTCGAAAAGCGAGCATAGCATGTTATATTGCGCCAGGGTTAGAGTCGTATGCTTTTGCGTCTTGCAGCCAACTACTCAAGGAGAAGTTCCAGGTAGGTCACATTGAAGGTAGACAGGAGACAGACAGCACCGCCTGTTGCGACGAAAAGGGGAGTACAGCAGCTCGGGATCCGAGCGCAGCGGTGGGCGCGCCGGCAGTCTCTTTCCTCCGGCACGATGCAAGGCCCTCCAAGGCAAGTTGAACATTAAGATGGCATAATCAAGGTTATTTTCGTGTCTATACCGTTTTGACCGGGCAGTCCTACTCGGCTGCGGGGGTGGATCTTCAGCCATCGTTTGATTGATATGGTATTCGCCCTCAACGAATCGTTGTCTTTGCTTATAAGGCACATGGCAATCCTTCTACTTTGTCAAGATCAGTGGCTGTTATGGTGCTTTCCTTGAAACATGCACACGTCCTTGAAGCCGCTAGTGCACTTGCTACGTCAATGATAGGTTGGAGCGTGGTTAACCTGGCGGCCCCGTGGTTGGTAGAACTGAGATTATCCTTGATTCACAGAATAGGTTGCTTCTCCGTGTGGGGGGTCGGATCCGGCCAGTATGGAAGGGTGGCACCGACAGAAGGCTGCATTGATGCGCCTCAGGGGCTTCAGCTGATATGATGGGCTTTTATTACTCCACTAACCGGTGGGCTTAGGTACTTAGCGTCGCAAATCATGGAGTATGGAGCAGCGGGACAAAAGCTTAGCTTCTGCGGGGGTTCCTGTAACAGACCCGGCCAGTGACTACTCACACTGAGTGGAGGAAGTCGGGGAGATCTCCAGACGTCGAAAAGCAACTCTCTTGTAGATTTTCGATTGCGTACAGACGTAGGTTTATTTTGGAGTCAACGTAGACATAGAAATAGCTGAGGGTACATGTTGTTTTGTCATTTCAATGATTTGGTACGCCCGTATAGTCTGGCCGAATGTGAGGCGGTGCTCAGCGTCGACTCTCACTTCTCCAGCTACGTAGTTATCATAAACGGCGACAACACGCAGTTCATTGAAAGGCTCACGCTGGCTTTGTTTTACTGATCTGAGCTTCTCTATAATATCTGTCTGGTGGATACCCCCTTGAGTTCTTCTCGTGCCTTCGAAACCTCTTGATGTTTGACCAGTTCCTGGGCCTTAGAGATTATGGCACATGGGCTGTAACTACGTAAATAGAAGTCACCATCAATAGCTTCTACTCACAATCTAACCCGGTATGCTCCCATCTTTTGATCGAACGATTTGATGTCATAGATATGGGCTGTGTATGTAAGATAATGAGGCATGGTAAGGGGCTAGCTCATATTTGTTGTTTGATCTATAATTGTAAAAGGTGGAGGAAGATCGAAAGAAAACGTGGATAAAACCGGATTGACGGATATTGGGTGAAAATGGGTTATCAATGTCTGTTTCTGTGCTGAGCCAATATACAATGCCCCCCCTCGTTGATGCCGTAACCTCATGTACTGGACTACTGCGCTCTCAAACTTCTCCTACCATTGTAGAGCTCCATATAGAAACTAGCACCGGTATTATTCTTGTACCCTCCTGTTAGGTGAAACATACTCGTAGCGCTTCTGAACAGTGACTTTGGGAGACCACGGTTCAATCTACTTCTTGCAAGGTAGCCACTTGATATTGATCTGTTGAGTAAACGCTACCGTTGCATCATCGTCGGTGATAGAACCGTAAGCTTGGGTGTTCTTGGACGTAAGAGCAATACGATTGTTGACGTTAAGGATGCCTGTCGCGCCGCAAGGCGAATAAATGAGAGCCGCAGTAGGGATGGTGTCCTGCTTGGTGTAGACCTGGCCGTTAAGCCAGATGCCACCTCCGGTAATGGAAGTCTGCGTTGTAGTAGTGGCTGCAGCATCTTGGGAGAAGAAGTACGTCGAGTAGAATGTTCCAGTCACCCCTTCTTCAAGCTGAGCATATCCATGGTAGGTGCTGTCCACAAGAGCGAACTGAAAACCACCCGGATACTTGAGGCTAAGGTGAAGAGCACAGTTCTTGGAGCGTTCGGCTACCGAGAGTCCCGGCCCGATGTAGGTTTGAAACTTGTCGAAGCCAAAGGTGATGACCGTACGGTCTGGAGAGATCGTGGTTGAGACGGAGCCTTGGGGGCAACCACTTCCCGAGAAGCTTGCGCTGACGATCTGGATCTCCTTGGGATCAGGTGCATCAGAGGCTCCAGTCGGCCCCAGGGGGTTGGCTACCGCCTGCACCGCCAGGAAGAAAGCAAAAAGGCCCTTCATGTTGAAGTCTGTGTAAGGTTGTGAAGGGTATGAATGGATGATGCAGTGTCTCTGGTGATATCAACACTTGTGTCTAAGTAGTTTCGATAGAGCAGTGATGAAAAACACAGCTCTCAGATTGGTGTTGATCTGGTGTATTTATACCCATATCGACGAGGCACACATGATAGCTTGTGGGCTAGAGTTATCAAATGGTGTTGACCCTCTTCAGTTGGTCCTCCTCGAGCCCGAGGTCAACTGAGCCTGCCGAATACGAGACAAAACCTCACAAGTGACCTTCTCACAGTGCCAAGTTCGCTTAGTAGTAGAGCTGTTCCTGAAGTTACTCAAATACCAGAAGTTGACTACACTATACATCAAAGAGGTTTGGTTCAAACCGCAATCACATCGGGCGGGCGAGCCTTAAGCGAAGACCAAATTGAATTAAATTGCTCACAGAATGATTCATCAGCTGACAGCTATACTAGAACGCCACAAATTGGGATTTGATTCTCTGGACCAGTCGTACCAATGATATCGGAGCAGGTCATATTCGGTCTAGACAAACTAAGGTAAGATACGGCTAGGGATGCAGCCAGAGTTCTTTTGAGAAGTAAACTTGATGAATGCAATATCCACCACTTCGAGAAAGACTTTTTACCACATGAGAAACTACAGACGATACCAGCCGCTTCCAACAATGTTACAAAGGCTTCTCTTGATGTCTCGGCGCAACGATGGCCAGCTGTCAGAACTTGGGAGCGAAGAAACCTCTTAGCTGACCACGCTTACGCATTAATGATTCCAGCTGATGCCCGAGTTCTTGGCCTTGAAAAGCTGAGCTGAGTCTAATGCGAGCCTTCTTCAAAAGGGGAAGTTGCTTTACTACGCGCAAAGCCAGACCATGTTCTGAGAACAGTAGCGGAGGCGCCAGTGCTACGCATTGTTAGACCTACATATTGCTTTGGCCAACCGAGGTGACATCGCTCAATGTGGCGAGCATATAAGTCTTAGTGTCACTGCATCATGTTTTGGCGACAAAAAGGTCTCTAGGTACTCGTTGAAGGCGAATTTAGCCTAGAGTCATCCAAGTTTTGCCTCATTGTGTGCTCGTCGTTATCTAATGTAATTGGCCAGGATGCACTAACTTGCAGAAAGCGGCTTTTGTCATTCATCCAGTAGCGAAATGTTAATCTCTTGGATTAACTTTGCTAGGCATCAGGCACTCTAGGAGGGGGACTCTGCACAAGAAGCCGCTCGTATTGTGAACTTGGGATCCCGGCAGCCATTGTCTTGACCAAACTTTGCTTCTGGGACTACCGCAGTCCGAGATAAGGAAAGTGCTCATGGCCTCTATTTAAGACAGTGTAATTCGTGTTGGATCGTGGCATAATGGTACCGCTCAATAAAACTCAGATAAAACTCAAAAGCTCACGCCTGGCATCAAAGTTCCCTAGCCTAAATGTATCATCCAGAGAATGGCAGCCAGAGGCCATGCGTCAGTCTTGGACTGCATTTTGTTTTCGGCTACGGAATGTTGCTCGGCTTGCGATATCAGTCAAAAATGTCAAGAGCTTCGGAAGATGTATCCTGTGATGATGTGTCATAAGATTCCTGGATGAACTCCGGCTATATCTAATACCAGCAAAGCTATTTTAGTCAAATTCATCTAATTCCTCATTACATTGCTCAAGATACCTTGCCTCACGAGCTCTCAGCTTGCTTAAGAAGACCTTCCAGGTTAATGCTCTTGGGCCGCTCAATGGGCAGTCCCAATGCTCGGTCCCAGATCAATTGAGCAAGGGGTCCCAAGCCACGGGAGACACCAAAGGTGGCGGTGTAGTACAGAGTCTCGTGGAAGCCATAGTGATGGAAGAGGACTCCAGAGCTTGAGTCGACGTTGGGGTAAGGGTTCTTGGTCTTGCCGTGCTTCTTGAGCACTTCGGGGGCAATTCGACTGTTCTTTTCCACCAGTTGGAAGACGGGGTCTTGTGCGATCTCAGGTCGAGCGGCGGCATAATCCATCAGAGCCTCGAACCGAGGGTCGGGTTTCCGCAGGACAGCGTGGCCGTAGCCAGGGACAACTCTGCCGGAGTTGAGGGTGGACCACAGGTAATCTGTGACGTCTTTGTCAGAGTAAGACGAGGGAATGTTGTCCTTCATCTGTAGAATCCACCGAAGAACCTCTTGCGCGGCAAGTCTATGCGGAGGTCAGCATTGGTTTGTCAAAACAGCAGCAATCGGCGGTGACAACATACCCATGAAGGGGACCCGCGAGACCTTGAAGACCAGCGCTGTAGCTTAGGAAAGGATCGCTAAGGGCGCTGCCAACTAGGTGAGTGGCGTGGGCGGAAACGTTACCGCCCTCATGGTCCCCGTGGAGCGCGAGATACAGTCTGAGGAGATCTTGGAAGTTCTCATTCGCCTTGCCACCCTTCCCAAGCATGGCAGCAAAGTTGTAAGACCAATCCTGCTCCAGGTCTACTTCTGCGGGCAGAGCGCCGCCGCCACGGTAGGAGTTCTGGTAGATCTTGGCAGCGATCGTGGGCAGCTTGGCCAGCAGCGAGATGGAGTCGTCGAAAGTAGGCTCCCAGTAGTCAGCCTTGTTGATACCCTGCTCGTAGGCCTTTGCAAACTTGGAGGTGTAGTTGAGAGCAGAGACGGCAATGGCAAATTGGGTCATTGGATGCAGGTCTGTGGGGAAATCGTCGAGAAGCTTGTTGACAAAGGCGGGCAACTGAGCTTGCTCAGCCAATTCGCGGGAGAATTGGCGAACCTGGCTTGTGGACGGGACCTGGCCTGTAAGAAGAAGCCAGAACATGGCCTCGGGCAACATTTCTGTTCCAGTCTTTCCCTTGGGGAGCTCTTTTTGACAATCCTTGATGGTTCTGCCGTGAAACCGAATGCCCTCATTCGCATCCAAGACAGATCCCTCCCAAACCATGGCCTTGAGGCCTCGCATGCCACCAAGAGTATTCTCGACCTTGACCTCCCCAATGACCTTGGACGAGTGTGCCTTGACCTTCTTCAGAAGTTCCCGCTTGGCGGGAATGACGCTCTTTAGTGTGGTCTTGAGGTCCGGTTCGGAAGTTGAATACTGGCGCGCATTGAGGGCAGAACGAGCTGCCAGAGGCTACGGGTTGTCAGACCATAATCGTCCAGCGGTATGTTGATTGCTGTAGCTTCGACTTACCCTCAGAGCTCCAAGAGCTCTGGTACCCTTTGTGATGTTCATAGCCATGGCTGCCGACCGAGAGAAATTCAAAGGGAGGATCAGCGACGGAGAAGTGATGGGGAGGGGTAGAGGACGAAACAAGGTGACCGGGAGAGGCAACAGTAGTTGAATGGCTACTGAATCAATCGGCTGGATCGGGCCAAAATGATTTGAGGAGTACTGGAGGTAGGTAAGTAGAGACAAGCAGCTGGTGATGAAATTACTGTAGGAGGAGAAACTTGAGGAAGAAGAGTCACGAGCAGACGGGCGAGGAAACTTCACATTGTGCCGACCTACTAGATAAGCAGGTACCGCAGCAGGCCGAGACAAACAGCTTGACCCGAGGTTGGGGAAGCCTGGGTGAGCGGCACTGACCTACCCCCGCGGGAGAGGGGATGTGTAAGCCAGCGTGCTGCTGCACTCCTCAGACCGCCGCCAGCCATGTACGGGCAAGGTAGTAGGTATGCCGGTCCGGTGCCTTAACATTGAACCGTAGGGAAACTACCAATCTCATGTTAAGCGGGCTACCTTGGGTTGTGTGCCCGGTACCTACCTAGGTAGGTAGATATTGTGGCTAGTAAGACGCTGGCGGGGTGGTCTTCAAGGCCGGTGGGGGAGTGCACTGGAACGACAGGGGACGGGACCCCAGCTTTTTGTCCTCCTCCTCCACGTTTGGCACGGGCAGTACGGGTTCCAGCGGCCGGAGCGTCATTGCCCATATCCCGTGCGCCGTGAGTGGCCGGGGAAGTTCACAGACCCATATTTGCTTCACCATACGTAGTACCTAGCTGCTTTAACATCAGTCCTTCCCCACGTCGCTGGCACTGTGAGTCTGTGGCCGATGAGGGGAAAAGAATGGGCCGAGGCAAGCCGACGCAACTGCGGACCTTTGGTCTTGTCAATTGACCAATGAGAGCACTTCACATTGGCCTTGCACGTGGTGACATTCGTCTTGCCGCTGCTTACCAAGGCTGTTGATTCGCTTTTGCCCGGCTAACACTCGCCGAAGTTGAGCGCTCCCAATTGCGCCTGTCCATTTCCCACGTTATTCCCATTCAGCTACTCTTATGTAACATCCTTTGTCCCGAGTACCGAGTCGTTGCCTCTCGGATTTGCTTTTGTAGAAACCTGCCTCGCCGGCGATACGACGCTAAACTCCTCGTAATAGGCGGGCATCATCGCTCTGTAGACAGTACCACGACCGGGGCAAGTCTTGCAGATTCTATCTTGTGCTTCTCCGTCACACTTTGCAGCATCTCGGTACTCCTACCTCCAGAAGAAAGAAACACGACAATGATGCGACGAGCTGCTGCGCGAGCAGTCACCCGGAGGGTTCCTCTCATCAGCCCGTCTTCAACACCTGCTGCTGCTGCTGCTGTGCGCTATTTCTCAATAACAAGGAGAATGGCACAAACACCCAAGAACCTCTTCTCTGCCTCCGCCCCTCCCAGCGATAACTTCCAACTTCTGGCCGAGTCTAAGAAGGCCGGTACTGCCGAGGATGAACTCTACGAAGCACAGATCAAAGAGGTTGAGGCATGGTGGCAGTCACCGAGATATGAAGGCATCAAGCGGCCATACAGCTCAGCCGATGTGGTTTCCAAGCGCGGTTCGCAGCATCAGTCATACCCGAGCTCCGTCATGGCTAGAAAGCTTTTCAACCTCGTCAAGGAGCGGGAAGCTGAGGGCAAGCCTATCCATACGAGTACGGACGCTCCTCTCCCCACCTCTCTATAGATGGGCGCATGCTAACCACCTATGTCTTGTAGTGGGCGCCATTGATCCTGTCCAAATGACCCAGCAGGCCCCTCACCAAGAAGTCCTGTATATCTCAGGCTGGGCCTGCTCCTCCCTTCTGACCTCTACCAACGAGGTTTCCCCCGACTTTGGCGACTACCCTTACAACACCGTTCCGAACCAAGTCCAACGTCTCGCCAAGGCGCAGTCGATGCATGATCGGAAACAATGGGATTCTCGGCGGAAGCTCCAGGCCGAAGAACGCGCAAAGACCCCGTATATTGACTATCTACGACCCATCATTGCCGATGGCGACACCGGACACGGTGGTCTCTCCGCCGTTCTCAAGCTCGCCAAACTCTTCGCAGAGAACGGTGCCGCTGCGGTGCACTTTGAGGATCAGCTCCACGGCGGCAAGAAGTGCGGCCACTTGGCTGGCAAGGTCCTCGTCCCCATTGGCGAGCACATCAACCGCCTCAACGCCGCTCGTTTCCAATGGGACGTCATGGGCTGCGAGAACCTCGTCATCGCCCGCACCGATTCGGAGAGCGGAAAACTCATCAGCAGTGCCATTGACGTCCGCGATCACGAGTTCATCCTGGGCGTGGCGGACCCAAGCTTCGAGCCCCTCGCCGAGACTATCCAGGCCATGGAGGCCAAGGGCGCGGTCGGGGCCGAGATCGACGCTTTCGAGGCCAACTGGGTCAAGAGCACCAAGCTGGTGACCTTTGACGAGGCCGCCGTGGCGCATATGAAAAAGGAGGGTGTCTCCCAGGACAAGATTGACGCGTATCTCAAAGCGACACGCTCCAACCGCGATATGGGAATCTCCCAGCGCCGCAAGCTCGCCAACGAGCACACCTCGACACCTGTCTACTTCTCCTGGGACGTGCCCCGCACGCGCGAAGGCTTCTACCACTACCGCGCCGGCATGGACGCCGCCACGAAGCGCGCCATTGCCTTTGGCCCCTACGCTGACCTCCTGTGGGTCGAGACGGGTGATCCCAACGTCAAGGTCGCCACAACTCTCGCCAGGGCCGTCCGCGCCGTCTATCCGGGCAAGGGGCTCGTCTACAACCTCAGCCCTTCTTTCAACTGGATGGCACACGGATTCACAGACGAGACGCTCAAGAGCTTTATTTGGGATATTGCCAAGGAAGGATTTGTGCTGCAGCTTATATCGCTTGCTGGCCTGCACTCCAACGCCACCATCACGAACGAGCTTGCGAGGGATTTCAAAAAGGATGGCATGCTGGCGTATGTGAACATTGTGCAGAGGCGTGAGAAGGAGGGTGGCTGTGACGTTTTGACGCATCAGAAGTGGAGTGGCGCTAGCTATATTGACGGAATCCTCGGGGCTATCCAGAGTGGCAGCTCGAGCAGTAAGAGCATGGGCGAGGGCAACACTGAGAGCCAGTTCCACTAGAGAGCCATCTATAAAATGCATGTGGGCGGCGTTGCGGAAATCTTCTAGCGTTTTCAGGATATCAATTTGTCGTTTCTTGATGTACACCTCTCGCCTGCATATTCCGTGGTTGCCTGCCTGTAGATGGGAGGTTGGGCCAAAACACGAGGTCTCGCAGACGGAACAATATAATCACTGGTTTTGTGAGCTTCAAGAATAAATGCTTCAATTTGTCTATGCACAGTTTCATCATCATGGCCTTTCGGCCGTGTACGCCCCAGTCTCTTGCCCAGCGCCCTAAACTCCAACCCAATACGGTATCATATCGCGAAAATCGGATTCAAACAAGCAGCGCAACGCAACCATTACTCGAGGCTGGTGCGGCTGGCGTTGTTGATGGGGGCAGGCGCCGCGGGGCCCTCGGGGGTAACGTAGGCCTTGGTCATGCCGCCGTCGACAACCATATCGTGGCCGTTCACGAAGCTGGACTCGTCGCTGGCGAGGAAGAGAACAGCCTGGGCCTGCTCAATGGCCTCGCCGAAGCGGCCGGTAGGGAAGTGAATCTCGCGGCGCATGCGCTTGGGCACGTCGTCGCCGAGCCAGTCCTGCAACAGAGGAGTGTTGAGAGGCGCCGGGCAGAGGGAGTTGAAGCGGTAACCCTCGCGGGCGTGGACCATGGCGAGCTCACGGGTAAGGGCAAGGACGGCACCCTTGGAAGCGGTGTAGGCAAGCTGGGGAGTAGCAGCGCCGACAAGAGCGACAACTGAGGCGGTGTTGATGATGGAGCCCTTTGTCTTCTTGTTGCGGCGGAGGGCGAGAACGGCGTGCTTGCTGCCGAACCAAACTCCCTTGACGTTGATGTTCTGGGTCAGATCCCAGATCTCCTCGGGGGTGTTCACGGCATCGTCGTCCTTGGCGTGCATAATTCCGGCATTGTTGAAAATAATGTCGAGTCCACCCCAGGCATCAACGGAATCAATGAGGGCCTTGACCTGGTCTTCCTTGGAAACATCGGTGACCTATCATGGCGAAGAGAAATCGTTAGCAAATTGAATGGAACACTCCCAGTCGTTGGGTTTCGCGTTGTGTCGTGTGACGAGGCAAGAAACGAGACAAGATAAATGGCGGGGCATGGCGGGGTAATTTTTCCTTTCGCGTTGTGCAATGTGCAGGTGTGCTGCTGTTGTCGCTGCGTCCAGCGTTGTGCAGTGCATTGCTGTCGGCGTTTGATTTGATGCACGCCGGAGCGGCGGGAATGGGATCTTCCAACACTTTTCATTCGCAGCCTGACTCAACGTACCTTGGTCTCAATTCTGGCCGACGGGAGCAGCGACAGAACCTTGGCCTTCGCCTTTTCGAGTGCCGGGGCAGAGATATCGGCCATAGCAACGCTGGCACCCTCCTTCGCAAAGAGAATGGTCGTCTCCAAGCCAATGCCACTGTCACAATTGCTTGTCAGCTTATCGGATCCTGTATGCCATGTGTGTATGATGCGGTGAACGCCCAGCCACTGGGGACTCATCCCGATGCGCCGTGCTGATAAGGCGCCTGTGAGACCATGAGGGGGGTTGCAACATTGCATTGGGTGACCTTACCCAGCAGCGCCAGTGACGACGGCGTTCTTGCCAGCCAGGCGACCTCCAATCTCAGCAGGAACGGAACCCATTTTCAAAGGTGTTGATGTCTTTCGGAGTGTGTCTTTTTGCTGTTGCTGTGATGTTGAGTCGCAAGTCACAGTTGGTGAATCGCGAAGTGGCGGAGGAACGAGTTGGGGTTCGAAGGTTTTGGTGTGGTAGTCAAAGTCCCGTTGATAGCTTGGAGCTCTTAGTTGAAAACAAAGTGTGTTGATGAGAAGAGAGAAGAGCAGGACGGTCACCACGATGCG